GGTGTTAATTAAAATGATACCAATATCAAAATTACGATCTGATTTTTTGTTTGAACAGATTAATTTAACTAGTCAAATAATTGACTCAGTCAGTGCAAATGTAAAAGCTATTATATGTGATGGGAATTGCGCCAATCAGGCTTTTTTTTAAATGTACACATTCGTTCAGGGTAAACCTTGGTTAACAGTAGATGGAAAGTATTTACTTTATGATTTTGTACACCTCATAAAAAATATTTGTAATCTTTGGTAAACTCAAAAAACTCAGGAATTAATATTTGACGATAAAGGAGTAACCAGGATTGCAAAATGGACTCATTTAAAACAGCTTTACAATGCAGAATCCAGAAGCTTTCTAAAGTTATCTGACCTGAATGAAACTTCTATTTCTCCTAAACCTGTTGAGCAACAGTTTGTATTGACGGTTTTAAGAGTATTTTCTGAAAAAACTTACACTGCTCTTTTGCAACATCCTGACATAATTAATATTGATGTTAACGACACTGCTATATTTATCAATAAAATTATTATTTGGTGGAAAATTTTAAATGTTAAAGCCATTGGTGCTGATACAAGGCATAATGATCCTTTGCAGGCTGTTGTCAATAATCCTGATGACAAACGTTTAAATTTATTACTACAATTTGGTGATATGGCACTTAAAATGGCAGGTCTCAAAGGTAAACGTATTAAACAGCTTTCTAAAGATACTGCAACCTGTATACATCAAACTTGTTATGGACTAGTAGATTTATGTAGATATTTACTTAACACTACGCAAAACTATGTACTTCTTGGTCAATTTACTTCAGATCACCTGGAAAAAGAATATAGTATATTTCGTCAGGGTTCTGGTGGCACATATTTTCTTAGTATTTAACAAGTTATTGAAAAATTACGTATCAAACATGCATCTTTACTTTTGAAGTTAAATGTAGATATTGACAATTTTAATGTGAAGTCTGGTCAACAATATGCGTTATGTGATTACAAATTGTTTGAAGACTGCTAGTTTTCTAAAATTTTGGATCGTGGTGGATTAAATATTCCAACTGATAATTTGTGCCAATGGACATTTTTTTGTTTTGTAGTTTTTCAAATAGTTAAAGATCATGTATGCAGAAAATCTTTAAGTAGTATTTTTATAGTTACATCAGACTATTATTTATTGGATATGGAAGAACATCATTGTGTAATATTGAGCAACATTTTTTTTTTTAATTTATGTACCACTAATGCAATTATGTTAATGTGTGAAATTTGAAATAAGAAAAAATTTCTTTGCCTTTTATTTACATTGATTATTACTTAAGAATAATTTTTTTTTCATCAAAAAAAATATTAGGCTATACAGAGAATTAAAATTACTTTTTAGTTTAAAAATTACGTTATTATCTTTTTTATTGTTAAGTTATTATCTTTTTTGACGTAAAAAAGTAGGCCTCCACTAAAAAATCCGGTTGCGCGATGAATAGGCCTGTAATAGAGAACGCTATGACTCTAATATATAAAAAACGAGTCCAAAATTTAGCTTTAACAACTGCTAATTACATTGGTGTCTCTGTATTTCAAGAACTTTACGTACTTTTTTTATCGAATTCTTTTACTTCCACTTTAAGAGTTTTAACATTCTCTCACTATTGAATATAGCCACCTAAGTAAAAAAATGTTTTTAAAAAAATTAAAATTTTAATTTAAATATTTTCAATGAAATACAACTTTAAAAAATGGAGCTGCCTCCAATTTAAAATTTATCGCTGGCTCAGTAGGCTCGCGACTTCCGGAGATGTTTGTCGGACTACGCATGCCCACTGAAGATTAAATTGTAACAAACTCTTCGTTTCTCAGAAATAGTGTACTTTATGATTATTAAAAACAATATGCGCACAGATTTACTTTAAATTTAAAATATCAGTAGATGAACAAATTATCTAAAATTAGAGGTTGGGCCTGTCATAACAACTAGATGAGCTGCTGTTGGTCATAGAAAAATAGTGAGGATTTAAAACGTAAAATGATATATTTCTGTACTTATGACAGTAAATTTGAAATTGCAAAAATCAAAATACCTCAATATATAGGCTAACCTTTTTTATAAATTGTTGTTTTATTTTAACTTCTATAAATTTTTATTTAACTTCTATAAATTTTTATTTCTATTGTGTGAAAACAATAAGAAATTTCAAAAATTACACAACTGTCAAGACAATAGACGATTTTGGAGTTAGCGATGCCATATCGAAAAAATATTCTTGGGGGTGCAAGTTGAACTTTGAACTCTCTATTTTTATGCGAAATGTCATATAAAAGTATGAAAATTTTCTTAATTTAAAATCAAAATAACTCATAGATTATTAGTTAATTCTTGGTTTAAAATTATTAGGAAAAAATGTTAAACTTATTGCAAGAGCTTTTGCTGCTATGGAACTTATTCTTGAAATTATATCTTCACAATTTAAAACCAAAAGAAAAGGTGATATTATACCTTTTTTATGGTTTTAAATTTGATATTATAAAATAAGTTTATGCATTTTTTATTCAATTATACATATAGTTTATATTGAACAGTAAAGTTACATTTTTAGTATTTTAAATGGTACAGACTATACCGTATGAAAACATTAAATCAACAATTCACTTTAGTACATATTTTATTACAATGAATTTTTTGATCTCATTTTAAAAAATTAGTTATTAGTTTAAAACTATTTAATATACTTTTACTGCTTTTTTTAGAATAAAAGCATTTAGTAAGTAATATCTAGTATGTAATATAATGCCAAGTCATAGCAGATGTGTATTTGGTGTATTAAAGACAAAAGATACCCTAACAAAATAATAAAACATAGCTGCTATGTTTTATTATTTTGTCAGGATATCTTTTGTCATTATTGCATTGCTATAATAGCAATGTTGAAGGAAATTTAATAATGCACAAGTTACCAACATGTAAAGAAAAAAGAAATGCATGGATACATCATGTTAGCACTGGTATAAAAGATTTTGTTGTCCCTAAAAACTTTTTTGATTGTTCAAATCACTTCTATGAAGGAAAACCTATAAAAGATAATCCTGATCCAACTTTGTTTTTAAAAATCTCTACTAACACCATAATAATACCAAAAAAGAGAAAAGTACCCTTTCCACAAAACTCAATTATTAATTTTAAAAAAGTTTTAGTTATGAAAGAAACTAATTCAAATTCGATGGATAGTTCAGCATCAACATCATAATCAGGAGATAATAATATTGCCTCTGTTAATTTAAGAGAAGTTGACCATCTACTATGACTTTGGTTTAAGCAAATATTATTACTATGACTTTGGTTTAAGCAACCACTCAACGTAGTAACTTTGAGGTACTATAACTTAAGTTTAAAGTAAAATGAACTAAATGAAAATTTAAATTTGTATGATAAAACAACTTCTGCTTGTATTTCAAAAAAAAAACTCTTTGCTTTTATTTATTTATACTTTTATTAAGTCTCTTTTTGAACTTCATTGAGATTTTCCTCAGTCGGTTTGCTTCGAATTTTTCAAAATAGAGTTAAAAAACGTTCTTAATCTGGACATGATTATAGATCAAAAGAGCTTGAACTTTTACAAAGTGTTTAAATCCATAAAATTCTTAAAAAACATGTTTTTTTTAACTTAATAATAAAAAAAAAGTTCTACTTAATGACGTTGCAAAAAAAAAAAAAAAAAAATTATTTGCTAGTATTAACTCTTTTTCTTTTGAGGAACTTTTTATTGTTTAAATTACTTTGCAATAGTTAAAATAATTTATTATATTTATAATAGTTAAAATAAACGCTACATAGATTTTTTTTCTCGTAGTTTGGTTAATTTTGTTTTCTTCCTTACCTCTCTAAATTCTATTGCTTATGGATTTGTAAAATTCGTTTCATATGGGACTTGGTGGTCAGGGTATAATGCCATATATTAGTACATTGTACGTAATCTTAAACAACGAAATGAACAAAACAGCTGTTTAGGCATGGATTGCAATAAAACAAAAAGTTGCATTTATTAAAGCTTGAGAATAATAAAAACTCTAAAACGCGTGCCTCTTAACCACAATAGCGAAGGCTAGCCTTTATCTTATCCCTATTTTAAACTATATTTATATTCATCAAGTGATTTCAAATTTCATCAAATTATATTTAAGTGTTTAAAAGTCATACTATGTAAAGTTTGTAACCCCTTTATTTAGAGGAATTTGGAGATTATTATTTTGAGGAGTTGAAGTTATTTTAGGTCTTCGAAAGCTATTAAGTCTTGTCTGGGTTTTAATTTATTTTAAAATTTGAAAATTATATTTTTAATTTGTTTTAATAAAAATGTCTAGTCTTCTATTCATGTTTTTAAACATCGAATTAGAATAAATTTGTCTGCACTCAACAGTCTATTTTCGAAATAATTAATTTATTAAATTATTAGCCTATATTATTTACCCTTTTAATCAAAGTGATCGACACACTAAACAAAATGAAAGTTGAACTTTTTTATTTTTTAAGAAGTTTTCAGAAAATTATAATCTGGAACTAATAAGAAACTTTTAAATTAAACTATATAAGTTAGGGCGAAAATTACTTTTTAAAAATTTAATACACCTTTGATACACCTTTAGGTTTTAAATAAAACTGTATTTAAAAATTTTTTGAAAAATATTTTTAGGGGTCCCAATTAATTCTTGAATAGTTAACTTGAATTTTTATTCCTAATATCCGAAAAAATTGACTTCTTCAAAAGTATGTCAACCTGGTACTCAAAAGAAGCGAAATTTTATAAATGTTTTAAAAATAGTGATCAACATTTTTTATTTCTGCTAAAGCTGTTTTATTGTTGAAACTTCCAGCATTTATTATAGAAAAATATTTTTAATATTATATTTTACGCCCTTACATTAGAACGTTTCTACTCTGGACTAAATTACGATTCAGAATATAACAGCTAACCCACTATAATAAATTCTATATAGGATATCGTAAAACCTTCAACTTTCAACATCGTATTCAATTACATAAGAAAAAACATCTGTTTACAAAACATGAATATTGTTAAAAATATCTCGTAAATTTTTTACAATTTATACAAAAAATGAGTGTAATATCTTTATTATGAATATATCTTTATTATGAATAATATACTTTGAGTTATTATTATGATTAATATACTTTGAGTATGAAAATTACCAAGGCCAACACGGAGTTCGACAATTCTGTAAATAAGTTTCCAACAAACCATCATCAACTTGCATCAATGCAGTATATGCGGTAAGCTGTAAAATAGATTAAAAAATAAAAAATGTTTTTTAATGAAAAAATATCAAAAAATTTCAAGTATTTACCTTATTAAAAGTTAAGTAAAAAAAATTAAGTAAAAAATTAAGTAAAAAAAATTTAAGTAAAAAAAAATTAAGTAAAAAAAGTTAAGTAAAAAATTTCAAGTATTTAAAATTTATTTTTCAAGTATATAATAATTTCAAGTAAGGTAAATACCTTATTAAGAGATGACGGAGTAGACAAAACATTAAAAAGCCCCCCAATGCTCATACCCTAGAAATATAATTAATTGCACTAATTTTAATAAAAACGTATTTAATACAGTATAATATATTATGAGAAAATCTAAATATAATAATCTTGAATTTACAAAAAAAAAAAAAATTACAGATTTTCCCATTTTCATCATACATTTGTTGCCCTAAAAACAGAATTAATATGGTTTAATACACAAAAAAACAAACAAAAAATTTAAAAATATCAAATTAACTATAAAAACATCATCATACAGGTGTTCGTCTATCGTCAATAAAAAGAGGCTTCTTCCAATGGTCATAATTTGTTTCTAGTAAATACCAATCCCCATTGGTTGAGTTTAGGCTAACAATTTAAAATATTTTAGTATAAAAGCAAAACATTTAATGTTATAAATCAACTTTCTTAATACATGTATATTTTCAAAAAAATTTTAAAATGCTTTACACACTTCCAAACGTCATCAGCTGCATTCCTTGATCTGGTAATGACACAGGCTTCGTTTTCTTGTGTGCCTCCCAAAATAAAATAAGCTGGTGCTAATAAAACGGTGTTAGTAAGTGTGTCTTTAGCTTGAGAATAACTAGTTTGAAAAAAGTTGAAAATTCATTTATATAAATTTAAAACAAACTTTAAAGTTTAAGTAACATTTATATCGAAGCTTTATAATGTTACCTTGTTGCGTTTTCCATAACGTCTCTTAAAAGGAAACCCATCCATTTTCCTTTAGTAAGCCCAAGTACCCATTCAATCAACCCTAAAGATTAAAGACAAATTTAATTTTTGAACTTCATTAAACTATATAAAAAAATCTAATATTTAACTAAATAAAAAACAGACCGACATATCCTCCATCCAGACCAAATCTCTCATTCATTGTTAATGTAAACATTTTCTAAACAATATAGCTAAGTTTTTAGGATTTCATATTATTATGTTTATATATTATTATGTATTATAATATATTAATATATATTATCATGTATTATAATATATTATTATGTTTTTATGTATTTTTATAATATAAGAAACTTACTGGTTTGACAGCAGTCAATATTCCAACATAACCAACAAAGTGAGTAGCTTTAAAAACAGTGACTCCGTTTTTCTAAAAAAAAAATAAACAAACTTTGAGCCTATTTCATCTCTTACAACATTGTGACACAAATATAAGCAAGTAATATTATTGTTTATACGAATTTAAACTAAATGATTTAACTTTTCAAAAGTACTATGCTATACTGCAAATAACAACAAAAAACAAAAAAAATAAAAGCAATCGAGACAACAGTTTAATTGACTCAGTTTTATTTAAAATGATCATTAGTTGTTAAAGCAGCTTTTATTGACTATTAATAAACTATGCGCACTGTCTGGTGCGCATAGGTTATTAAACTTCAATATCAAAACATAGTCCAATTAAAAATTATATATAAATAAATAAATAAAAATTCTACATCGAACAATCAGATACTTCAAAAGTAAGTTTACAAGATAAAATTTAAAATCAATACTAAAATTGAATTACAGCTGCACACCAAGTATTGTGGAATTATCAAAATAATTTCTTCACTTTTTAAAACAAAATTTAACTAAAACTAAATTGGAAGCAATTAAAACAGCTGCTAAATTGGTAATAATGCATATTTGGCAACAGTGTGTACTTTAAATCCATTTATGTTACCAATATTAGCTTAAAACGAAAACTCAAAATGAATATGATGAATTTGTTATGTATATTATTATTTGTATTTTCTCTCAAAAAGGATTTAAACATGCATGAATGGTCATAACAAATACACAAATGATGTCAATACAAACACACAATAAACATAAAATTTAACAATACACAATACTAAACTTTACTAAACTTTTTTTAAAGTTTAAAAAGATTGTATAATTTTTTGTGTGCAGAAATTCTACTGACGTGATTCTACATTTTCTTAATTAGCTCAGAAATTAAACTATTTGGTTCTTCTAAAATATTTCGATAAATTATTTTAAAAAGTTTAAATTTGTTTATTATCTTAAATAAGTTTTCATAAATAACACACTGATAAAAAGTTATATTTCTTTGTTTCTAATCACATAGAAGTATCAAAAAGATTTTTTCTTCTTTAGAAGTCTTCAGTTTTATGCATTTTTGGTATTATAATGTATTACAACAACTTATAGCATTTATAAAAAAGTTCCATTAATTTTAAATTATTTTAACCTGGTAATCAACATTGACAATGAGTTTACGCAACTTTTCTGTAACTAACCATGTATCATTCTGTCTGTCCCATCTTAAAATAAATAAAAATTACAATAAAAAATAAAAAATAAAAAATCTTGGCATAGTAATAAATCATACCCTAATAGTAGTCCAAAGTCTAAATTTCGGCTGTGATACATTTTTCCTTTACAAAAAAACAAATTTGATTATAAAAAAATATTAAAAAGTTGATGTCTAATACACTACAAATATGATATTTATCATATATATCATATCGTATACTTTGGGATATATAGATATACTTATTTTGGTATACATATGTATACTTTTGGTATATAGATATATACTATATATTATACTATCTTATACATTAGATACCTTTGTCGTCATGGCCAACAATAGATGTGCATGCAGTAAATATTTCATAAAATATATTGTACAATACTGCTTCTCCTAACAAAGAAGATTTTAAAATCATTTTAAACAATCAAGTTAAAAACTCACACAAACTACTTTATATAAAACACCTTTGTTACATAAAAAAAAACTCGACAAAAAAAAGAAAAAAAAGAAAGAAAAAAAACACCCAGGAAGAGGTTCAAATATGAACCTCAATAGCCATATCCTATGCAAATAAGGGTAGAATGTATGCTAATAGCTAAAACTAATGGCTATTAATTATTTGTTAATGCTTTTACCAATAACTTCATTTTATGAAGACTATGGATTATCAAATAAATTCAAAAATTTACTAAACTTTGATTTTAGGTTCCCTTTAAGGAGAAATTTGTTTAAAGATAAGTAAATATCTTAAAGAAACCAAATTTTTCCTTAAAAAGACATTTGGTTCCCCTCAATGTGACATTTCATTCTCCTTTAGAAGACATTTGCAACTCAACTGCAATAATAAAGTATTTAAAAGAAACTACTTTATTATACAAACCCAAACAATTAATACTTTTTTTAAGGATAAAAATACATAATGAATGTACCTAATGGCAAACCAGTAGCTTTTGCAATTCCTTTTATTTCATCGGAATATGGATAAGGAAGCCAATCTATTATATCGCCCTTTAAAAGATGTTAGATTAGTTATAAATATTTTTATATTTATATTTTACACTTATTTAAAGTATTCATTATTAAAAAACCTTGGATAATACATAAATATATTATGCTTTAATATTAAAAGCCTAAAAGCAGAATATATTATACTTTTGGTCTTAATTATTACAAAAAGTACTGTTATTTCTGTTATGAGGAAACACCCTCACACCTTACACACAAATATCTAGAGAATATACATTAAATATAAAAAAAATATCATAACTTTGGCTACATACCAATGCACCATCCACTAACTGAATTACTTTAGTAGGAACAAGTTCTTTGATGGAAGCAATGAGATCTGCTAACTAAATTATAATTTATTTTAAAGTAAAAAGTTTTGAAAATGAATTCAATATTTAATAATTAAATTTAAAATTTTATAATTAGAAGAATTGTCAAATTTGAGAATAAAAGAAATGAAAAGTTGCTGAGTGGAAACAACTTCTTATGCATATGATAAAACAAAATGATATCAAATTTTTCTTTTAAATATGATATTCAGATTAAGATGAATTAAACATTTAACTTAAAACAAAAACAAACAAACAAAAAACAAAATAAAAAAATTTCATTCTGCACACAGCTCTCTAGCAACAGAACAACTATATTTTATTGTGTTGTACTTTTAAACCAGTTGTTACAAATTCTTAAAGAATATGAAATTCTTACTTTTATTGCAATTATATTATTAGTTTGTACAAGAATAATTACATTTTGTATTGTTGTTTTTTTTAACACCTTTCAGGTATAATAACAAATTTAAATATTTAATTTTAACTGAAGATAACTAGTGTTAATCAAAACATAAATTGATTTTTATTAGTAAAATGGTTTTTCAATTTAAAAATTTGTCTTGTTTATGAACATATACATATACATATATATATATATATATATATATATATATATATATATATATATATTATATATATATATATATATATATATATATATATATATATATATATATATATATATATATATATATATATATATATATATATATATATATATATATATATTAGTATTCAATAGTTTTTTTACTATTCAGTATTAGGCAAAATATTGTAAACTATTTGACCACATACAGAATACCGGATTGTAATGGAAAAAATACATAAAAATGGATTTCATATAACTATTTTCTTTAATTTATTTTTTATTTTAACAAATAATTGGCATATTTGATACTTAAAACCTATAGGTAGTAAGTTATGATAAAATATTTTCATTGTTAGATGATAGCCAATTTCTGATAAACTATAAATACTTTTAAAAATAGTCATTCACTGCATACAAATTACATAAAAATAGCAATTCACTGCATACACAGCAAAAAAAAAATTGATTTTTTTATCAATTTTAAAAAGCGACAGTTTTTACACAGTAAAATGTCAATTAAATAATCTTAATACAAAATAATTTATTTTAATTTATTTAATATATTTCACAATTTGCATTTTTTAAACTTATTAGCAAAACGCAATTGATTTCAAAATTACCTAACATAAAAAGTCTTCATAAATTAAAAAATATAAAATATTTAAGTTCTGCTTCAACGTATTTAAATAAGTTATAAGTTACTGTTAGAATTTTATTAGGTTAATAGACAACTACTCAGTATGTATTAAATTTTACAATTGTGATAAAGATATATAAATAGCTGCTAGGGCATGGCCTATGCTATCTATAAAACTTTCACCCTTTTGAGACAACTTTTTCAGATGCAATAGAATCATATAAAGAACTTACTTAACTTATAAAGATTCACCAAGTACATTAACATATAAATTAAAATACTGAAACTGTTTACTTAACTATTTATGATTTACCCTAAACAGTAACATAAAATTTATCTCAATCAGCAGCTTGTTTAAGACACTGAATAAAAGCATAGTATTTGCCACAACTAAAATAAACAGGATATCAAAAAAAAAAGAAAGCTTCACATCAAAAAAAGAAGAATGCTGCACATTAAAGAATAACTTTATGTTTATATACCAGGAATTGTGGAAACTTTTTTTGATGTTTGAGAAAGATAACTTTTTGACTTAGAGCAAACTTGTTTATGCCAGGGGCGGATCCAGATCATCACATAAGTTGTTACTTTTTTTAATGCTTCTGCAAAAAAAAAATTTATTATAAAAAAATGCTAAATTGACAACTGCTTTCACTCTTCGAAACAAGATAGGTTAAAAAACATGATAATTTGCTGATGTTTAGTGGTAAACTTCCGCAAATAATAGATGCACTGGACCATTTATCTGAATGGAATGACAGAACATCTTAATCAAAAGCAAAAATTTTATTATCAATTAGAGAAAGTGATTTTATTGTCCCTTTAGGCTGTGCAGTACATGTGTTCTCTTTAAGGAATGAGTCAGTTGTTACAAAAAAAAGTTTAGATTTACATAAAACAAAAAATTGCATTTAAGACCTGTTAATTGTTTTTAAACATAAAAGAGAAAACTGCAAAGGAAATTTTTAGAGTCGCAGAAAAACAATAGTTGAAAAAGATGGTAATTTTACCTAAAAAAGAATAGTACAATGACAGACATGTTGTAAAAATATACCTTTAGATACAATGGAAGAATGTTACAGGCAATCAATTTACATCCCTCTACTTGATGCGTTAATATTGGACATAAATACACGTTTTTCTAATGAAAATTTCTTCAAATCTATGCTTTGATATTATTAGATTTGATATTATTATCATAAAGAAACTCTGTTGAAACTCTTTTTGCAATCAGTATTGTCTATGGGGTCATTCTTGGACTTGGTATCCAAAATTTACATGCACCTGAATTTACATTGGAAGTTGAACTATGGCAGTACAAATGTATAAGGATGAAAGATGAGGGAGAAATCACATCACTACTTACTCATCTTTCTGTTGTGTGACCACATTTTTGATTTGTGCAACCAGGTACAATATCCAATCACTCACAAGTTGTTTCAAATTATCAAGTCACGTCCTGTCTTGCCTGTGCTGAACGTAGCTTCTCAACCTTGAGAAGAGTTAAAAATTGGCTGAGAATACAAATGATAGAAAACAGACTAGTCGGATTGGCCTTACTTAATGTGCACAGATAAATTCCAGTAAATGTGGAAAAGGTGATCGACTGTTTTGCGAAGTTGGGAAATCATAAATTAAAATTTGTAATATTAGTTGTTAAAACAATCAACAAAATATATTTTTTATATAAAAGGCTACAAATACTAAATACAAAAAAAACATTTTTACAAATCATGTAGGAGGGAGGGGGAGGGAGTGCAAGCTTCCCCCCCCCCATCCTTATGGATCTGCCCTTGGTTTATGCTTATATCAATATCAAATACTTTGCAAAATTTTCTATGAATGGATGCAAGGAACTAAAACTTATGCCCATCCCCTTCCCCCCCAAACAAACAAAAAATATATAAGGGGAATAAACTACAGTTTCAGGGTTCCAGGAGTTATAGCAAAATAGTAATAATACTCCTGAAAACTACAATTTTCTAGCAAAAATGTCTAGTAAAATTTTTAAAATAATAACAAAACTTTATTATTAACAATAATAAATTTGTTAAACAACTTTAAAGTCAATTATGAAGTACAGGCTGCAAAGAAGTACAAATCTAAGACTTAAGCTACAACAGTGAAAATAAATGCGATACTAAGTGAATACTGTGATAAGTGAAACCTGCAACAACCCAATCTTATAGAGAATTTAAAAACTTTATACTATAATACAAACTTTATCTTAAAAAAAATTATTATTATATTCATAAATACATTTTCAATAATTACCTCCTCAGATTTTGGTCCCACAATATGTGTCCATCTGTCAAATGGAGGGTCATCGAGATTTAACACAACACTGTTTATTTTTGTTCTATAAACAAATGTAACACATTTACAAATCTTAACATGGTATTTTAATAAAAAAAAACTTTTTAAATTAACTTAACTAAATTTTTTTTGTTTGATAGATTATACTCTTAACTAAATCGATTTAAATCATAAAATAAAGTTTTTTATTTTTTCATAAAAGAGAGCAATTTTTTTGTAATTATAGATTTTTTCTTATAAGTGCAATTTTTGTAGTTCATTTAAAGAATTAATTTATATAATTAAAAATATAAAATAAATTAATAAATAATTTTGTGTTACATCAATAAATTTAAAAAATTATTTTTCTTTGACTTTTAGTGCAAACTGTTGCAACGAAAAATTAGAAATAAATATAATGGGGGCACCAAGTGTGAATAGTAAAGAATAATTAATTTGAAGTTTAAGAGAACAAACTAATTTTAAGCAATTGTTTAAAATTTTTCCAATCATGTTGCTTTTTTAGTTAATCTAAGGGTGGAATGCAAGAAGCAAACTTGAGTCAAGTTCGACTTGAACTTTACTTTGTAACCAATAGTGGCAGAGTATTTTTTGAGGGGAAAACCCATACTCTGTCACTATTGGTTGCAATGTTAAGTTCAAGTCGAGCTTCACTTAAGTTTGCTTCTTGCATTCCACCCAAAGCCCTGGTATAACCATGATAAGAAGTGTATGAATAAATTAAAAAAAATCTTACTCTTTTGGCGGAGGATATGCATCTGTTTTGCAAGGTTCGTTGATCTTTAAAATAAAATAAATAACAATTGTTAAACTGACAAAAAAATGATTTTAGAAATATAAATACAAAACTCAACTAAAATCTACAGTGTAATTATATATAATGCATTTGTCAGTATCGCTTAGCCAAAATTAAATTAAACTTTGATTTTGACTGGGAACTGATTCTTTAACATGTTTGTCACTTGTAAGATGATACCTTTGTCACAACCATAATTTAACATAAGGTATAGCATTTAATTATTTTCTATTATTTAAGTTTTGAAAGTTATTTTTTATTATATAATTATAATTTTTTCACCAATTTTTATTATTCCAAAAGCTTTCTTATGTGAAACTGATTGATTTTGTTTCTTAATTTTTTTTCTTATTGATGATTGTAAACTTTGAGAGAACACAATTTGAACTCTACTAAAATGTTTAAATCTTTAGCACTTTAAATTTAACAATTCTACTTTTAAACATCACCCACATCCACCACTCACATCCTGATCACATCTGTAAAAATATTAGGCCACTCATTTTTAGTTTTAAAATAATTTAATTGTTTTGTTTTTTTGTTTGTTTATTCCAAAAATGTAATAACTTGTCAGCACATACATCCATAATTAGGAGTATTGAAATTATTACATCTGCAACTGAGAGTATTGAAATTTATTTTTAAAAATAATAAAAAATAGTTTTAAAAGTAGTAAAAGATTGAATGCATTTTTTAAAAGTTTTTCATAAATAAAAAACATTATCAAGAAAACTAAATACATCTGTTTTTCAAACTTAAAAATATATCCATTAAGGTCTTATTAAAAAAACATGCTTAAATTCGACTTAAACCGCTTAAATTGGACTGATATCCAATATATATATATATATATATATATTTTTTTTCTTTTTTTCTTTTTTTTTTTTTTGACACTTTTATTTTAAGGGACTTAGTAGTAAGACTGAATTTGTCTTTTTCTTGCCCCAGCCATGTATTTATATATTTGTCTTTGCTTAACCTCGTAAACTTTTCTTATTGTCAAAATACATTAAACCCGAAAAGTATAATGTATAAAAAAATTGTGAAAAGAAAACTTTTTTCTTATTTAATCGGTGGGTAATCTTGGCGAAAAAAAAACTAAAAAAATTATTTATGCAGGAGTTATGGTTGTTTTAGTAAATAAAAAACATTTTAAATATATAAAAAAGTGCCATTGCACTTTTATTTTTATTACTAAAATTTATTAGAAAAAAATTTGATTCTATGCTGGCCTCTCCAAATGCCCTGGCCCCGCAGCAGCTGCCTAGGCTGGACATGTGTAAAGACAGGCCTGAACATAACTATAAGATACCTTGCTGATTTTAAGAGAGTTATTATCTTTTTACTAATAAAGAAATTTAATAACCTAATAATTTTTATAATTTTCTCTCAGCCAGTTAAAAACTGGTAACATACCTTAATTGGTTTTAATTAAATTTTTATCAGCAGTGTTTTCAATTATAAGCAAACTAGTCTTATCACTTAAGTAAGTAAACAAATTATCTGGACATGTGTTTAATTCATCAATATATAGCACAAAAAGAGACCTGAGTATGGATCCATGAGGGATTCCTGAATTGAAAGATTAAGTTGAAGATATACTTTCATTTAGCTATATTTTGGCACTACTTTATTTAACATGTACGTTAATATGATATCAGGCTGCTATGTAGTATTGGAAATACCTAAATCTTACGAATTTAAAATCAAAATTCAAAAAATTTTTGAAAACGTTTTAAAAATTGTGTAGTCTTACTAATTTTGTTTAAATGTCTGTTTAAACTTAACTTAAATTTCATGTGAACTTAGTCATTTAATGTGAACTTAGTCCGACTTAATATTTAATCATGATTAAAGGATACATATAAAATAAACTATATAACACTATCTCTAGAGAATTTAAATTAAAATAATTGCATTAACATACCACCATAGCGGAAATGAAACTAAATAAAGCAAGAAAAATTATCAATTTCATTTTATTTTGATGATTTTTATAAGGTTAAGAGCATAAGTCTTGAATTCAAGGATGATTTAAATAAAACACTCAAAATTCCGCTTTGTTTCCACCGAACTTTTGTTTTGAAAATCTCATGACAATTTAATATACCGGTTACCGAAATAAACACACCTCTTACTTTCCCGTTTTTTTTTTAATTTTTTTTTTATTAGCGCGCTTGCCTAACTGCGGGACGAAAAATGAAAGCGCTTTTTTTTTTGTTCATAAGTATAGTCCACCGTTTGTAAAAAGGGGAAAGCTGAAACCGATCTATGGAATTTAAAAAAGTTAAAAATGCAAGTCAAAAGTTCCCAATAAATTAAAGATAATTCAAAAACACGTTTTAATAATTATATAATCCTTATAAAAATTTTTTAGGGGCCTATGTTTATTAAAAAGTATTATAATTCATAAAAATGGTTCAAAAGCGTCTGCCGTTTCACTTTTCTATTCAAAACTTTAATCCGTCTCTAATCGAAAATCTTTGAAAAAACCTGGCCAAAAGTCAAAAAATCATTGAAATCACTTTAAAATATATGAATATTAAGTTTTTGAACCCCGGAATCTAGGATATTAGAGTAAATTGACCTATTTCTGGGCACTTTACTTTTATTATTTGAAAAAAATAATTCGCATCACGTAATATAAACAAAATAATTTGGATTTAAATAGGCTACTTAATGATTAGTGGCGTCACTAGAAGACGCGGGCCGTTGGTGACACCATCATAATCTGACACAAAGGGGTGAAACCAAAATTAAAAAATGCAAATATAACAGCATTATTATTTTAAGAAATTCAAAACCCTATTAGTGAAAGTCTATAGGGGTGACATCCAAACTTTACGCCTCTGATTGACACCAACCCCAGCGACGCCACTGTTAACGATGAATATAATTATATAAAGTTTTTAACAAAGGTATCAATTTTTTAGATGCTAGCTAAAGACCTATTACTGGCCATTTGAACTTAATTTTAATTATAAAAAGAAATTCACAAATTAAAGGAATTATTAATAAGTTAACAAAATACACATAAATGCATATACAGTTTTAGCAATATTGTTTTCAAATACTAAGTTGAATTTACTACCTGCACGATTTTAATTTATATCTTTAGGAACATTGTAAACATATATAAGGAATTTTTTATTAAACATTGCACTTAATATTGTCTGGAATTCGGAAAAATATATGCGATGTCTCAAACAAGATCATAAAAGGTTTTTTTTGGTAGAAAAAACCATCGAAAAGCTTGGATATCTTCATTATAGAAAATACTTTATGACATTAGTTTCTAAATCTGCTAAACTTCAGGACGTTATTGCCTACCCCTTTCTAAACCTTTTTTACGATAAAAATAAAGATAAAAATAAATCACTTCCAATCAGAAAAAAAGATTTTTGGACGACCTAAAAAGCCTGCGAAAGTGGTCAATGGAGCGTAAAGATAAAAATAATGAAAGGTTTATAAAAAGAAAGACTGTAAAAACAAATCAATTTCAAGCGGAAATGATTGGTCAACAATCGTCTGACAACATTTTTCAATCAAGTCTTTAAAAACATTGCAAGTATCATAAATGCACGCAATGGAGATTTGAATAAGTTTTCACTATCAGAAACAACTTCAAGAAGGCATAACAAAATGGTCTTAACGAATGAAGGAATTAAAATAAAGGAATCTTTTATCTCAAAAGCTAAACACTTATCTCTGACTCTTCACCTGGACATAAAAAAAATTGCATATGTTCTTAATCATGACAAAAATGTGGAAAAGTTGGCAGTAATTGTAAGCTCACCAAATCTCAATGAGCCCCACCTTATTGGAGTAATTGGAATTTCTAATGGGTGTGGAATAACCCAGGCTACTGCAATAAAAAAGGTCTTAAATGAAGGAATCTTTTCGAAACAGTTTTTCGAAACAGTTTTTCGAAACAGTTTTTCGAAATAGTGTATTCTTTGATACAACTGCGAGTAATACTGGATGGATTAATGGAGCAATGTCAATTATTGAGAAATCGAGAGGCAAACCACTAATTTGGTTAGCATATAGACACCATGTTGTAGAACTCCGAACTAAAAAAATAGAAAGAGCGACAGGCAAAGTTACAACCGGACCTACAGTCAATACAATAAAATACAGACAATAGGATAAAATTTGCTAAAGGAATAAATTATGAATGAAAAATATAAAAAAGTTTGACTGGAAAAGTAATCGTGGTACGTTTATTGAAAATAAGGTGAGATAAAAATATTTTAGAGATTTTAAACTGTTAAGACTTATTATTAAGAAAGGAAATATATAACGTTAATAAAACATACTTTTATCAACACGCAAATAATTTCTCATAATTAATTGAATAAGTATTTTTTCTAGGCTGATAAAGTCTTACAGTTTTGCAGTGAAGCTTTAAAAGAAAACGTATTTCCCAGAGGTGACTATAAGTACCTTTACCAGTTAACAATTGTATACTTAGGCAGATTTGTCACGGGATTTCATTTTAAAAGACCTGGTACCTTCCATCATGCAAGATATCTTGCTAAATCAATCTATAATCTTGTACTTTGCCTTCTTAGTCCACAGCTTGATTCAATTCTTTATTTTGCAAACGATATGTCACGTTTTACAGTTTTTACTAAGTTTGTTGGTGTTTTTTATACTTTTTGGTTTTTAAAAGCTCTTTTTGCATGTACGGCTCCAGGTATGGATTTACAGGCAAATAGAGATATTGAAAATTATAAAATTAAAATACCTGATATTGCCCAAGCATGCATTGACGTGATGAAACATCATTGGTTTGACCAGAGAACAGTTATTTTCTCCATAGCTGACGAGGAACTAATGCCCTTAGTTAGAGAAAATGTTGCTAAAAAGCTGTTTAACTCTGACTCTAAACAGGATGTTGGCAAGCCAAATTTTCAAAAGCAATATAAAAGTCCAAATACAATTAGTCTATCATCATTTGTAGGAGGCATGAGTTGGTTGGTTTTTAAGAACCTTGGATTTACAAATAATGGTCTTGAATGGTGTCAAGTTAGTTGTAAGGAATGGGAGAAATACAGCACTTACAGAAGATTTAAGGACTGGATTTATAAACTACATGTAGAAAATGATTCTGCCGAAAGAGCACTACTCGAAATTGTGCGTAAATGAAGCGTTGAAGCAAGATATTCTTCTGTCAATAGCAGAGCATAGAGTAAAACATTCAGTTAGTACCAAAAAAAATTTGATTAACTTTTGAAACAACATTTTAACTAATCATATTGTATAATATTTAGGTAATTGATTATGTTTTTTTGTCTATATTTGTGATTCGAACGTTTTTAATAAACAAAAGCATTAATTGAAAAGAAAATAAATTGTTAAATTTGTAAACTATATCTATAAATAAAATTACTATAATATATTGATGGAACAGTAAAATGTGGCTGTTTCCTGAAAGTTTTGTTTCATTGCAAAAATCGATTTAATTAATGCGTAAATTAAGTTGGCGCATTAGTAGCGTAAAATAAGGAGATTTCAAGAAAAGTCTAAAAACTTCAACGCACCGGAGGAGGTAGTAAAAAAAACTTTAAATAAAAATGAATATGATTTTTTATATGTACTCATCAAAATGCACCAGAAATCAAATGACGACCTTCAATAATAAAAATTTTTGCGGAAATGGCGGGGGGCCGGTGTATATACTACAACGTATATACTACAGTGTATATACTACAGTGTATATACTACAACGGACCATACCGGAGTCTGAAAACCATTTTAGTTAAGCTTAAGTCATATAGTGCAATAAAAAGTGCACCCACATTAAAAATAATAACTTCATAATTATTTTTTTGTTTTGTATGATTCTTAAACAGATTATTTAAAAACTTATAAAAATTGGTAATACAAATTAATTAGTTACAATTAAATATATATTAGGGGCCATCCATAAATGATGTCAGAAAATATAGGGTTTTTTTTTTAATATACTTCTTAAATTTAATGTGTTTTCAGCAATTAATAAGTCAACGCTAGTGTCGAAAACTTCGGCAATAGCAATAGACAATATTCTCATTAATAATTACCTGGAAATGGATATTGAAACCGGGATTTTTATGACTGATATTAGCGATCACTTTCCAATATTTTTAAAAGTAAGAAATCTAAAAACCACGTCTGATTGTGAACCAAAAGTTATAAATTTGAAAAAACGCAATCTCAAAACAAGTAATACTAAGGAGTTATCAATTAGACTAAAAAAAGAAACGTGGTCCAATGCGTATAAAAGTCAGGACACTAACGATGCTTTCAATAATTTATTAGATAAATTTCAAGAGTGCTTTAATGAAACCTGTCACAAGAGGACAAATAAATTATGACAAAAGCAGTTGCTAAACCGTGGATAAATTGCTGATAAAATGTTTAAAGAAGAAGCAAAAACTTTATAATAAATTTCTAAAAAATAAAAACAGTGATAATGAAAAAAATTACAAAAAATATAATTTTTTTTACCAAAATCTTATTAAAAATGCTTAAAAAAATTACTACAGTAATCAAATCATTAAATACAAGTTTGATAGTAAGAAAACGTGGTCCACCATTAACGACGTAATGGAAAGAAAAAAATAAATTCAACTTCTTTACCGAAAAGAATCATTAATAAGAACACTGATATATTCTGCAAAAAACAAATCTCGTAAGAAGTTAACAAATATTTTATAAATATTAATCCAAACCTTACTAATAAAAATATTTCAACATCTGATTCATTTAAAAGCTACCTAAAAGCCACAAACCACCTCATCATATACGATAATGAACTTGACTATAAAGAAGCGTTTTCCTCTTTTAAAAAAAAGAAAGCACCAGGGTTTGATGAAATATCTAGTGATATAATTATCTTCAACAAAATCAGCCTAAGCAGACCTCTGATTCATATACTAAAGCTCTCAACAACTTCTGGGATTTTCCCTGATAGACTTAAATTAGCAAAAATAATTCATATATTTAAATGTGACGAACGTTCAGACATAACTAATTATTGACCTTTATCAATATATTCTGTATTTTCAAAACTTTTCGAACGCGAAATAGAATCTATATTCACTTCGCTAAAAAAAAATTTAATTTACCCAAACC